TATGGAGGTAAGAAAAAGTGGTTTTTATCACATAACTACTTGCTTTAAATATTTAGCCTCTTCGTCATTTCTACATTTTTTGTGCTTGTTATTGTACAGGTGACTCCCAAAACATTGGCTGATGTGAAGGGTGGCACTTTAATCTCTTACGAAGGAAGGGTTCAGGCATGAATCTGCTGTTTAGATTTCATATCTCTACATTCTTAGCTGGTCCAAAAAAAAAAAAAAAAACTCTACAGTCTTTTTCTGTTTCATTAGTTCACAATTCTTGACTCAGCAAAATTTGTCTTAACCTTTCTATGACCTTATACTCTGATGTACTATACGCCATATACAATTATCACCCAAATATACATATGCCGTCTACAATTTGACAACTGGTCTGTTACTCCTCTATTTGATTTCTGTATCGTGGAAGAAACTACGAGAAAGTTAGGATCAATTAAAATCCTGAGAAGAATGTTGGCATTAAGTGACGGTTATGTTTGAATGTTTAATGCAGCTCCTGGAAATTGCACAAGTCCCAAATGATCATGTAAGCTACTCAATCTCTCTTGTTCTCCTTGGATCTTTTCTAACGTAGCCTACCCCCTTTATAAGTGTAGCCAGTAGTTCTAATTGAACTATGATAAACTTATGAAGATCATGATAATTACACTGGCTTGATTTAATTAATTATATCCTTTTGCACTGTCATTTACTTTAGCTTTAACTGGTGCTATGGTTTATTCCATAAGTACTTGAAGGGAGGGCATCTTATCCTACATCATTGTATATTTCCTTCTTTTTTGATAAAACGTTTTCATTTAAAATCAAATGCATATTTGAGAGGAAAGATCACATTCATGATTACACTATAATGATTCAAAATAAGAGAATAAAATATTATTAAGCATGATTCCTCACCATTTTAATCAAAAACACAATACTTCTTCATCGACAAATTTTTACTATTGAAAATTTTACATACCATAAAAGGAACTTGTAGGAATTGATTATTTGCTAGACCTATATGCTATGTTAGTTTTTTTGTAACTAATATTTTATCTACCAGCAAAACCCTTTACATATACAAGAGGAATTTCCTCATCTAACTTAAGCATAATCCCTAGCCACATTTCCTTATAAAAGCAGTTGCTAAACATTGGCAATACAAACTGTTAAATTCCTTTAATTAAAACGTGCCTGGTTTCTCATTGATGATATAAAATTTAGCCTATACTGCTAGATTATGATTTTTACAATAGGAATGAGAGTGGAAAATCTGGAAAGTGAACGTATCTTTATTAGAAAAAGAGATTTTGCAATTCTTTGTTTAGTTGTCAGACCTCACCAGCTATTATCATAAAGTTTCATATTAGGAGAATAAGATGAACAAATGGAGAAGCTTTTCTATTTTCCCATTTTCTTCTTTCTATCTAAATTGCCTTGTCCTAGTTGATGCTTCGTATAAGCCTGAAAATATCAATATTTGACAAAAATTATAGTAGCTAGAACACGTCTGTAAATAAAAGACAGACCTTGATGTTGAGATGTAGAGTATGATTATGCCATTGAGTCATTTTGCTGGCTTTTGCACAGGTGAATGAATTCAAGTCGATAGAGAAGTTCAAAATTTTCAACACAAATAATTTGTAAGTTTTACTGGCTATTACCCAAAGTGTTGTTGGTTATAGGTCCCAACTAACGAGGTGTTCTGCAGGTGGGTGAACTTAAATGCAATTAAAAGGCTTGTTGAAGCTAATGCTCTCAAGATGGAAATTATTCCTAACCCAAAGGTGAGGATTGTTCTTCTACAATAGTTGCATTTCTTTTCTTTCTATTCTGTTTTGGGGTTGGGAGGCTGTGCTGTATCTTGGATTGCATGCTAGACTCTTGGAACTCTGTTGGAAAATTGCTGACAAAGTTGTGAGGATTTTAGGAGGTTGATGGAGTAAAAGTTCTTCAGCTGGAAACTGCAGCTGGTGCAGCAATAAGGGTACTCAATGTTTTTTGACATGTTAAAATGTTCTTGATGATGAAGGTTATCTTCTTGTCTCTTATCTTCATCTCTTTTTACCAGTTCTTTGACAATGCTATAGGGATCAATGTGCCTCGATCCCGGTTCCTTCCAGTGAAGGCAACTTCTGATTTGCTTCTAGTCCAGGTTATAAACTTTTCTGATACGTAGCATAAAATTTGGATATGGGTTTGATGTATTGTCAGGCATAACCAGTTCCCTTGTTTTGCAGTCGGACCTTTACACTTTGCAAGACGGCTCTGTCATCCGTAACCCAGCAAGATCAAATCCTGCAAACCCTGCTATTGAATTGGGGCCAGAATTTAAAAAGGTAGAGACTTACATTATTGATTATTTTGCATCATATGGTGATAATAACACTGATTTACCCACCATCCTTAATAGGTTAGCGACTTCTTGAGTCGTTTCAAGTCAATTCCTGGCATTGCCGAGCTTGACAGTCTTAAAGTGGCCGGTGATGTATGGTTTGGAGCTGGTATTACCCTCAAGGTATGGAATTTAATCCTATTATTAATCTTTGAATCTCTCTTTTATAAGGCAGCGCAGAACATTTTTGACGATAATTCCAATGATTACAGTTTAGGACTCTTTTCTATTTATTTATTGAAAAGGTAAAATTACACTGCCAAAAAGATAACAAATAAGATTGTGCGGGAGGTCAAAAAATTTATGTCATGCCTGATTCTGTTCAAACCCGTGGCACTATTTGCATTCCACTTTCAATATCAGTTTTAATTGCTTCTCAACAAAACCCAATTGGTACATGAGGGTGGCTATGTGAATGGTAACGTGTGCTAACTGCTAAGGTCTGACAAATACTATTATAGTCATTAACCTGTACTGGAGCAAGTAAATGTGAAAAATGATCATACGAACCCATCATCATTAACCCAAGTACCTTCATTTGTTTTATCGGAGGGACAGTGGTTCTTCTTGTGTTTTTTTCCTTTTTCTTTTTGTTAACTAGACCATGAAAGTAATTACTATGTCCATTTTCATCCACCTGCCAGATTTGACAAGTTTTTTTATGCCACATAGCATTTCCTTGTAATCATGTCAAAATTCCAAATCCTTCCTAAGATTTTTCGCCTACCTGGTCCATAGCATTGGTGACCAAGGAAATAGGAACCTCCTGTAATTGCTCCTCAAGGTGTATAATTTTTCCTCCCCTTTTGTCATAAAGATAAAAAGAATTAGCCTCCCACTGATTCCATAGAGTGAAAAAAAAAAAAAAAAGCTTGTCCCTAAGCTGTGTTTGAGGTTCTGGAGACAAGCACTGGCATCAAGGAAGTGGGTTTGATATGACTTTTGTTAGTTTTTGGTGTGAGAAATGCTAGTTATAGTTTCTCCTTGTAATTTGCATTCACTTTTTTAATAATAAAAGCAAGAAACTTTAGCATATCATTATATTTAGGGGCTACAAACAAATTCATAGGGAATCTCACCAACCAAGTGGATTGACTAGGGTGATCATGCGGATTATTATTCTGATTACCGAGATGCTATCTCATATTTTCATGAGATTTTGCATCTTTCTTTTCTTGAATTTGTTTTCTATTTGCTTTCTGATGCTTTTTGTTCGGTTGGTGGTTGAAGGCAAAAGTCAGTATTGTTGCAAAAGCTGGCGTGAAGCTGGAATTACCTGATGGAGCCAAAATTGAAAACAAGGTATTCCTTTAATCATGCGGAGCTTGCTTGTTACATGTTTCCATAAGCTTGTCATTTTTAGCACCTCTAAAAGATAACTTATCACGTGCAGGAAATTAATGGCTCTGAGGACCTTTGAAAAATCTTTTATATCAAAGATGAACGGATCATATCAAATGGACAATGTTATGGCCTCGTAATGTTGTATTTTCTTGACTCCTGAGTGTGATAGAAAAAGAAAATAAGAGCCACTTTTTTTTTTTTGGGTCGCGGATATTTAAATACTTGGCTTTGCTCATTGGTTTTGTTATACTAAGCTCACGAGAGAGTTTAAAATGGGTTACATTGTTCATGATTTATGAATAATGCAGCTTCAATTTTACTTTATATATTGACGATAAAATGATTTTGATATGAAAAAAAGTTGTATTTATGCATTACCCCATTTAATTAGCATAATATTTAACACCACGAATATATCATTTTTTCTCATTAAATGAGATCAGTTACATCAATCGCCTTATGTTACTATGCTCTATTAACAACTTAAATTTTCATTTGTCCTTATTTGTAAATAATTAATAATTACAATTCTTTAGGTTGGCAACATTTTCTCTCATTAATTAGTAATTACTATTAATATATAATTTTTTGTGTACTGTTACATGAAGTTTTAAGGAATGAATCACTAACGGTCATTGTTGTTAAATAATGCGAATGTTAAATAATTTATATTTATATTGGCGATATGCATAGGATTGTCAGGGTCTTTTTTATATGCTTTCACCATTGAATTTTCATTGAAAAAATATTGGGAAGTAGTATTATAGATGCTTTATCTTAATTTCAACTAAAAATTATAGTTTTATTTAATCTAATTGAAATTAAATTTGAAGAAATTTAACAATATATACAATGATTTTGATTTATTTACTTATTTATTTTAATTATTTTAATAATGGTTGACCTTTTGCTTAAAATAATATTAATGTTGTTATTTGGTTAAGGAGAAAAGGTGTTTCCAGGTGTTCATTTTGCAATAGCAACCTAATATGTAAATGATGGATTTATCCTCCTGCAAAACATAAATCCTAAATTCAAATTGAAGTTTGTAAATTTGAATTTAAGACATTTACTTTTCTCCAACAAACAATGTGCAGTGTCAATTCATTATAAGCCCCCAGCAATCTTTGAAGATTAACATTATTCCAAAGGGCACATCCAAACTAAGGACCCGTTTACTTTCTAGATTAAAAATTGAGATGTAATAGATTAAAAAAATTAAAGATAAAAAAATATAATAATCAAGATGTGAATAAGTGATAAGTTAATTATATTTATAAGAATAGGTAATTTCATATAGTTGGAATTCATGATTTTTAGAACCTGTGGTGGGTGTAGTGTTTCTCAGTGGTATTAATTTTTTTTTTTATGTTTATCATGAGAATTAAATAATTTAATTCATTTTTGTTCTCATGTTTTAATCCATTCTATCTCTTTTTTTTTTAACAAACAAAAGGCTTAGGGTGACTTTTAAAAATCTTAGTAAATAATGTGAATCACCAAGATTTTATACTTACATTGATATTAATGATAACATAGATTGCCAGTTTGCAACATTTCACTGTATTAGTGATAGTAGTTTGTAAATACTATAATTAGATATGAATTTTATTTTATATGAAGATCATGAATATTAATATTTTTAGTAACATATTAATTAATATAACCAACATGCCTTGGTAAGTTATATAAAAATATAATCAGGTGTATCACATTATTTGTGATTTATTCAATTAAAACATGATATTTAAATAAATTTACATATAAATTAATTTTGATATTAATGATAATAAAGAGAGAAAAAATAAAAAATTAAATATACATTTTATTATAAAAATAAAATTAATTAAAAAATATTATATAAAATTTTATTTAAATGATTTAAAATATTTTAATTGAATATATTATAAAATATAATGTCTTGAGTTTATATAAATGGAAGAAACAAATTTAGGACAGCTATTTTTAATTAAAAAAAAAAGATAAAGCTTGAATTTGATGATGCACAGAATCTCATAAAAAAATAATATTTAATATCGACTCTGGTGAAGGGGCTGTCCGTTTGGTGACGGAAGGCCTCCTCCTCGCGCCGGTCAAATTCGTTGAGGCTCAGCTTCTTCCTCTTCCCTCGCTCAACCTGCAAGTACGAGCTTCGACGAGTACCCACTACTCTGCATTTGAGCACATCGTAAACTCTTCAGGGTAACAGGACGCTCTGAGTATTTCCATCTCCCTCTTTCTGGATTTGCATTTCATTATCTTTCACTCTCATGGTTGAAATAGAATAACATTTTCATCAATTGGAAGAAGTGCATGATTTTTCACCTCAAACGATGGAATGTCAGTTTCATATTTTTAGAACTTCCTCACTTGAATGTGTACAACGGTTTTAATTTCTACCATCCCTTTTGACAAGAATCTCCTGTTGGAGCTGGGAAATCTTGTATCAAAACCATGGACGGAGCTTTTCAAACCCTTGGCAAGAAAATTCTTGATCGCGTGTTAACGTTGTTTCAACTTTGGGTCCTTGAGTTATAGGTGCTGATACTTGAGACTATTTTTCATTTAATCGAGAAGAAATGTGGCTTTTCAATTGGGAAAAAATCTAGTTTATATTTATCTCCTTCCCTGTGTCACATGTTGTAAAGAGCAAGCTTCTTTAATTTTCTTCTCTTGTGTTTAAGGTTTTTTCTACATATTTTGCCAAAGTAAAATAAGATTCCATTGTTTCTTAGACTAGAAGAAAAGCGAACATGTTCACCAATGACCAGAGGCAAGAAGAGCGAACGGGAAGATATGGAACCCCAAGACTGCAATACCTTCAGGCACTTGCCCTTCTTTCTTTCCAGTTAATCATAAAACATTTCTTTTCATCCAATATACCGTGATTTTTTATTTTATATATATATATATATATATGGATATTGAATCATCGACTCCTTCATTTCTTAAACATACGCTCTATGTTCTATCTCCTTCAGGAATGACCAACTATTTAAATTTATTGCTCTGATGTTTGGAACCTGAGAGTGGTAAACTTTGTTTCAGGAATTGGTGACCCAGTTTCAGAGCGCAACTGAAGATGGTACAGAGTACTCTATAATTTTATTTTGTTTAAATTATATAGTCTGAATCCAAGATATAATTTGACCAGATATATTTTTGCAATTTCAAGCTTCTCATGCCCAGAATGCTTTATCCTCTTAGATATTTTGGCATAGGGCAGGAATGAAGTACCCTCTTTATAGTTTGACACGATTGTGAGTGAAACGGTTGTCTTTACACCGTAACAAAGAAATAGGAAATAATGCAGAAAGATAGAAAACTTCTCTGGACCATTTGATGCACTAGAATTCTCTGAGAGCCATTCCATAATTAAATTCCTTGACAATTGGTCTCTCAGATCTTCTTTATGCCCCAAGTATCTCTAATCAAGTCTCATTAGCCTCCTCTGTCAGTCCTCCATGTGTCCAAGCCTAGCTTTTCATGTTACTGACACAACCATCCTCTCTGTCTTTCCGTTTGACATATGCCCAAGTCATTTATAATATACAGGAGGACTATCACGGTGATTCACTGAAATCTGATGAGTGCGCTTGCCTTGCCCTATTTCCAGTAATTTCTTTTGTCTTCATCTTTTTATACAGTTCGTTACATGCATTTGAAATATTCTCACTTTGCGCTGAAAAGATTACACTTAAAATGTTATTCTTACAAATTTTATTCTTGCTTTTTAATAGGAATCGTACCTGTTAATGTCTCATTTTAAGCTAAGCAGCTTGCAAGAGTCCAACAAGGCTATAGTGTGTAATATTAATTTATTCAATTCTAATCCTAAAATTGAGGTGTAGAACCACTAGTGAACTAGTGGGGAGAGAAATTCTCTCTTCCTCTATTATCTGAATTGATAAATTCTTCATGTTTTTGTAAATTGTAGTATTCTTCTTAACGAGGTTCATGACACACTACTCCCAGCATATCAATGTTTCTTGTATTTGCAGAGACTAGAGAGAAAATAGTGGCAAATTTGGCGAACTTTGCCTATGATCCTTACAATTATAACTTCTTGCGTCAGGTTTGGCACAACCCTATTTTCTTGCTAGAAATCTTCATGTTATGAGCTAAAACATTATTTCACACTATGGCTGGTTTTGTAACATTCTTTTATGTGATATGTAAGCAGCTCAATGTTTTGGAACTTTTTCTGGACTGCATAACTGAAACCAATGAGAAGCTTGTGGAATTTGGAATTGGAGGGATATGCAATGCTTGTGCAGGTAAGCCCGTTTCACCCTTTGTGATGTCAACATCTACACCTGATAATTTGTTTATTTAGTTGACTAAATGTAATGGCAATTTTCTGCAGATCCGACCAATTCTAATATTGTAACTCAATGTGGTGGGATTCCTCTTGTCATCCAGTGTTTATCAAGCCCAGTTAGGAACACCGTAAGGGTGATAACTTAGTTGTTGACTATGTTTCAAGATGTTGGCGCATGGTTATAACCTATTCACCCTGCAGCAGAGATGAAATAATAAGCTAGGCTTGGTTAGATTGCTTAATTGCTGTGTGATGCAATTTCCTCTTACATTTAAATTACATTCAAGCGTGTTGCATATAATTTACTGTGTCATAACTTAAAATTCATTTTTTTAAAAAAGAATTAATCTATATGCAGAATATTATTTTAATTTATTTTTCATTCTTCTGAGATATTAGGAAACAGATGACGAACCTGTTTGTTTACTGTTTTTAAAGAACTCTCAAAGACTTAAAACAAAAGAATCTTTCTGTTACCTCTTTTTCTCATTCAGAGTTTTTAGTGACTCCTCTACTATCTGCATCTTACAGTAGAATGTACAGATAGCAACTTTGAAAACTGTTTCATAAAATTGAAACTCAAAATAAAAATGAATTAAAAGAGCACGACCAAAAAGATCCAATTGTTCATTTTCTTTTTCTTTTTTTTAAAATGTTAGAAGATGCTCGTTATGTAAATTTGTAGCCACCAAAATGTCACCACTTTATTATATTAGTTTTTCATTCTTAAAATTGGTTGTGGGAATTACCAGTAAGTTCTTTGGTGGTGCTGAAAAATCACAATTTAATTTTATACAATTTCCAAATATTACCTGTGATGGTTAACCAAAAGTATTTACCACCTGATACCAGGTAAATTATGCACTTGGGGCTCTTTACTATCTATGTAATGAATCTAACAAGGAAGAGGTTTTGAAGCCAGAAGTTATCGATGTTATCCAGAGATATGCTGCTGCTGAAACTGTCAG